AATGCATTATTTTTGTGCTAAATTTGAACTATATTTTATTAAAAAATTATGTTATTTGTCATTTTGAACGTTGCGTCTTAAACAAAATATTGCTCCAAAAATCCCTTGAATGCAAGAAGGAATAACAATGACAAAATGATACATCTTAGTGAATTTCCTTTTGATAATTTTGTGAATTATATAGTGTGTGTGTGTGTGTGTGTGTGTGTGTGTGTGTGTGTGTGTGTGTGTGTGTGTGTGTGTGTGTGTGTGTGTGCGATCATGTATATTTTAATATTCTTGAAAATTTTCATAGAGATCGCTAAAGCATGCATTCTAATAAATATCATGATAGAGGTTTCTAGTGAACATATGGAGAAATTCCTAACTTACAAATTAACAATTGGCACTGTTATCTTTTAATCATGTTCCGTGGTCAAATATGTCATACGGAACGGGATAAAAAATGAGAAGGTATGTTCAAAGATAGAATCTATTGACAAGACTATAAAAATGAATAAAAATAGGAACATTTGTTTAGAAATATAGCACAAATGCATATGCTCACTACACGCACAAACTCACTCATATGAACGCGCACACACGGTTTCTACCCATGTGAACATGTCCAACAGGCTGAGCCAATATATCTTGATATTGACAAGGTCGCTAGTTCACAACCATGTCATAACGTTGAAAGAATAGCGCCGAAGAACCTGAAATAAATGCAGGAACTATGCGAACACATATGCCATTAATCCGGATGGACAGATTCCAGCGCAAGTAACCTGACAATCTAAGATAAGCTTAGTTTGTGGGAGGTTTTTTTTCCTCTTTTTGAAGAAGAAGTTTGGAATACATAAGTAGAATTATATTCATCAAATTCAGAGATAGCCCCATGAACTAGTGGTGTCCACATGCCACAGTGGGACAGAGCGAGGGAGCTGACAAGTGGGACTATGGGCCTATACATGCACCAACGTGATGTAAAGCTTTGTCAATTAATTTGCATCGAAGGATGTATAAGTTTTGTTTTAGAAAGCATTGTGCATGGATATCTCGATCATAGAAATCTGATCCACTCAAAAAATTGATCTGAGCAACACTTGTTGAGTTCAACGAAATCTACGCAATGAGAGGAGAGGCCGAAAGAACAGTAAAGAGAGACAAACTTGGACGTCTCAGTTCTCATTCCTCTGTTTTCAGTTCTATATATGCACCAACCGGTATCCACAAGCTGTTGACTTATGTTGTTCTTTTATTTGATTATTTTTCTGTTTTCAGTTCTTTTTGCGTTTTTTTGCAGATTTTACAGTGACTACCGGTTGATGCATCTAAATTGGACTCACTAGTTGCCAAGGTTTGTTAACATATTCTACTCTTATTTACTTCATCCGTTTTCTTTTTTGTGAGTTCTCTTATATAATGAAGTGATCTCCATGAATGTGCAGCCACATTCCACGGACAACCGTGCTCAAGTGACTGCAATGATTTCAGGATTTTCTAAGTCTATATTAGGCCTTCCACTATGTAGGCCAAAACAGGTGCCAAATCCACTTTTTCATCATTTGGCACTGGTGCCCTGCATTGCCCATGCGGTGTCATATAAAAGTTCAGGGAACCAGAGCAAGTAGCTACTCCGGTGCCCACTTCCAGCATTGCAATAAAATATGTTAAACTGTAACTGCCATCTCTACTGGAGGTTTTCCTATCTCAACTACCACTGAAAAACAACATTCAATTCACAACAAACAACATTTAATTCACATCATATGACCATTGTATTGCACCAAATTTTTTTGCCTGTTTGGAGAAGAAGATCTCTATATAATGTACAAACCAAGTTCATGGAACACAACAGATCCTGGAATGTTCTCCCACAAAACATGGAGCATTCATATTCTCAAAACTTTACAAGCATTATGAACTCCGATAATTCAACTCAGAGCCCGGGCTCAGATGAGTTTTTTTGAACTTTTTTCTATTTTAAATCACGGTATTTTTCATGTCCGGGCTCATTTGAGCACGGGCACCAAATCGCCACTCTCGGTGAACTCCTCATTATCACCTTCAGATGCACATAGCCAAATACATCCTAGAAAATCCACAAAATCAAATTAGTGTACAATCTAATTCTAGTTTCCAGCCACATCATCCACATATGAATTATCCACCCACACAATATATTCCTAGTTTGGTAGTTAAACCAGGTCTGAGCCCCGACTCAGGAGGCAAGCCCGATCTGAACATGGCAGGTTTTTTGGGCCAAGTTGTCAGGCTGGGCTGCACATGCACAAGTTTATTTATACTAGACTTTTATATTTCGTTATAAACTTGTTTTACAACATTATAGTTTTAATGCGTAAGTTTTTCTATTGCTTAGTTGGCATAGTTAACCAAACAAAAATATTGCTAAACATTAATTATATTGTTGTTTGTTATAAAATTCATGCATATTTTTAAAAATGCACTATTTTGTGCTAAATTTAAACTATATTTTATTAGAACAATTATGTTATTTATCATTTTGAACGTTGCATCTTAACAAACTATTGCTGCAAAAATCCCTTGAACGCGAAAAGGAATGACAATGACAAAATGATACATCTTAGTGAATTGCCTTTTGATAATTTTGTGAATTATACACGGAGAGTCAAGTTAGGTGAACACAAAATCGTATTTTGAAAGTTCTAGCACCAAACTGAATATGCAACGCAATATCACCGGGAGTCATACAACTTGCACTCGACGTTCAATTTGATGATAGAACTTTGAAAATACGGATTTGTGGTCATCTAACTTGACATCACGCGCAAATACAGTCAAAAAATATGCATGCGGACGTATTTGGGTGTATGCCCTCACCTGTCAGTGAGTGATGTCGCTCGGCTGACTAATTTTTGCACAAAACACCCTTGCATTTTTTTTATTTACGGAACTATACTATTGAGGTAAGTAGAACTATACTATTCATCAAATTCAGAGATAGCGCCCTAAACTACTGGTGTCCACACGCCACAGTCGGACAGAGCCAGCCAGGGAGCTGACAAGTGGGACTTGGGCATATACATGCACCAATGTGATGTAAAGCTGCGTCGATTAATTTGAATCGAAAGATATACTTCCTTCGTTTCAAATTACTTGTCGAATGTATGAATGTATCTATATGTATTTTAGTTCTAGATACATCCATTTCTGCGACGAGTAATTTGAAACGGAGGGAGTACTAGTTTTGTTTTAAAAAGCATTGTGCACGGATATCTCGGTCATAGAAGTCGACCCGAGCAAACTCTTGTTGAGTTCCATGAAATCTATGCAATGAGAGGGAGGAGAGGCCTAAAGAACAGTAAAGAGAGACAAAGTTGCACGTCTCAGTTCCCATTCCACGTTCAACTCCCTGCCACAGTCCTCAGTCCTTCCGTCTCGCCGATGTTCAGTGACAAGAGACAAACGACGACGTCCAAGGCATCTCCTCCAATGTCGTCGCGTGCGACGAGACCGGAAGACATTTCCATGCCATTGTAACCACTCCAGTATTTAAAAGGCGTCGTCTTTTTGAGAGAAGCAAGCCGTCCGGCGGCCGCTGTCCCGTCCGACGCAGCTCCACGCACCGGCCGCGAGCCGAGGCGGCAACACCTCAACCCGCCCCGTCACCACACGCGCCCCGCGAGCGACACAGGCCCAGTTTTTTTTGAACGGTTCTTTCAAAATCGCTTTCTTTTTCAGCTTCCCTCAGAATCGTTACTTTATATTTTTTTTAAATTATATCTAATTAAGGTCTAATTAATTAGAATTGTAAAAAAAATTAAAGGACGATTCTGGAAGAAGCTAGGAGGAGAGTCGTCCCAAAAGACCTGGCCCACACACACCCATCAGACATCGGATAACAAGAGCCGAGTCAACCGGCGCCGCGTCACGGCCCGCTCACCAACCGATCTGTCGCCGGCCGGGCACCGCTGGGCGCCCCGGAAAAGATCTCCGTCCCTCCCGTGGCGGGGCCCGAGGAGGGCCGTGTGGTGACTCGGACGGCCGCGGTCCGCGCGCGCCCGTGGCCACTCGCCCGCCCCGGCGTCCCCGTCGCCACGCACGCCCATGTGGTACACTGATGATAACCTTGTTTTTGCCCCGGCCGACACGCTTTTAGCGCTGCTAGTGCCTGGCTGACTCTTCCCCTCTTTCCGCAGCCACATGGTTTAACCGGCTCGGGTGGCCACGAAATGATGGGTGGCACTGCCGCTGTTACTGTGGGTGGATCGTTGTTGTTGTTGATGATAATCTGATTGCCACCACCCAAGGTGCCGACTTTCACATCATGCCTGCCTGCCTGCCGCCGTTGCATGAGCAGGAAGAAACAGGCCCGGCACTCAACTTGCCGCCAGGCAAATCTGTGGGCATGAAAATGTTTGCACGGATCTTCGTGTAAAATCAATGACATTTGCTTAAATATGTAATACTTATGGCACATCTAGATGTGCTTTAGCAAAACTGATGATATATATATTATCAAAGAGCAAAACGTGCGAGGTTTTCTTTGGAGGCGAGATCTTCATAAGATCCACGAGACCATGACAAGGCGGACGTAACCTAAGACAAAGTGAGAGAACAACGGCCACCGGATAACATAATCTGGTACCAATGAGATAACTGAATGCAATCCGATTCATCCAATTCATTTAGTCTAGTGTTATTTAACTACACTTTGAGCAGATCTCAAGTCCTCAACCCAATGAAAAGTCGCCGACGGAGCCACGCGCGCACAGCCTTGCACGCTGCCTCCCTCTCGGCCTTACGAGGATCCGAGTCATCCCGCGTCACTGTCCATTCAGCCAGCCGCTATCATATTCATCTCCCCCAACGGAGCTTTCCACGTCCCCTTCCCGTGCCCCATAAAAGCCGTCGCCGGCGACGCTGTCAGCCCCCGCAACGGAGGCCTCGCCAAGAAAGACAGACAGACAGACGCACGGAGTGACGACAACACCACCACCGTGACGAGAAGACGGAGAGGCAGGCGGCCGCCGGAGATGAAGAAGTGCGCGTCGGAGCTGGAGTTCGAGGCCTTCATTCGGCAGCACCTCGCCGCCGCCGAGGCCGAGGCCGAGGCCCAGCGGGGCAGGCCTGGCCACGGAAACGACGACGGCGGGTTCGGCGGCGACCCCGGCGCCAGAGCGGACGTGTTCTCCCCCGGCAGCGGCCTGCCGGGCCTCTGCTTTGGCGACTCGGTGAGCAGCTGCTACTAGCCCGAAGCTTCCCTCTTAGCTCAGCCTCTGCTTCTGTACCTTCACTGTTCGTGCGTTTAACTGAATTTTCATCCTGTGCTCCAGCAGAACGCCCTGGAGCTGGAAGGGAGCAACCCCGGCCACTTGTGGTGGTCCGAAGGCCTCCGGGCGCCGCCGCACCACGCTGCCCCGGCGCCAACCCAGTCGCAAACGCCCGCCGTTTCCGGTATGCACCTTCAGCCTGCAACAGAGTTGGATCTTGTTATCAGTATGCGCAGAATGTTGTATGTTAAGTCAACACCTAGCGAGCAAACGCCCATGTGAACCGCAGTGGATTTCATCGAAAGAATTCTGAACAAAAGAGAAACATCACTTGCTGATCTGTGTGCAGATGTTTTCGTCTGCTCCAAAATTCCTAGGATTTATATTCTTGTCTTCCAAAATTGCCCTGGTCCAACATAGAAATAGAAGTACACTGATTTTAGAGTTGGGAAGGAAATTGATAGAGACACACCAGGGTTCTGTCTCACCTGCTGCCGCATTGTTTTGGTCGCAGCTAGCCCGAGGGAAACAATCTCAGGGAACCAGGCTCTCGAAACCGAGTCGGACTCTGACAGCGAGTCATTGGTCGAGATTCAGGGCGGCCGATGCAAGCGGAGCGGCAAATCATCAGATACCAGGCGAATAAGAAGGTATGCAGAGATCAAGCCAGTGCCAAGTTCTGTAAATTCTAATTAACACTGAACAAACTGCTTACGTTTCTTCTCTCCAATGAACTAATGAATTGCCTGTGTAAATTTCAGGATGGTGTCCAACAGGGAGTCAGCTCGACGGTCCAGGAGGAGGAAGCATGCGCAGCTGACTGACCTTGAGTTGCAGGTGGATGCACTCTCTCTGCTGCTTCATCAAACAAAAATTACCTTCTTGTAGCCTTGTTGCCTCCTAATGCACATGCCATGATCCAAGTTTGTTTCAAGCTTCTGACCGTCGACATGTGCCATCCTGATTGAGCAGGTCGAGCAACTTAAAAGTGAAAGTGCAACCCTCTTCAAGCAACTGACAGAGGCAAATCAGCAGTTCACCACCGCGGTCACTGACAACAGGATCCTCAAATCAGATGTAGAGACCTTAAGAATCAAGGTAACACTTCTCCTCTGGTACAAGGAAGAAATAGTCACCTCTAAACGATCATCAGTTCCATAGCAGAAGTGACATCTGAAATTGGCTCCGCAGGTAAAAATGGCAGAAGACATGGTGGCTAGAGGCGCAGTGTCATGCGGCCTAGGACAGCAGCTCGGATTGGCACCATTTCTGAACTCCAGGAAGATGTGACAAAGCCTTGGTGAGCGTTCTCACAGGCACAGGGTTGAACTTGAAAGGGAACCATGCACTCTTCAGAGGTTTCTAGCTCTAGCTCTTCAAGTTCAGACATCGGCGGTACGAAGCACTGCAAGTCTAGAGTGCTCGAATAACCAGATGCCCGCTTGCCCAGCGAGGCGGCCAGATGTGTGGATGCCGTGTGGCCCGGAGATTCACACCAAAGCAGGGCCTTTATGTATAGTAACGAACACTGGCTGTTGCATACCTGACATATGTGCATGCCTCGCAGGCTGCAAAGGTACTAAACTCTGAAGGTAGTGAAACTACTCTGTGTTCTGTATACTGGTGAGTGGTGAATATATGTATTGATGTTCATATACAACCAACCGAGTCGTCCTCTGTCCATTACTTATGTAACTTCTGCTAAAAAAAATCTTTGTTCCATACTTGTACAGACTACAGAAAACTTAACTATGCATCATCTAGTCGGTTCTTTGATGTAGCTCTGATGTACAGTATCAGTGCATAGTATCGTCTGTTGGCGTTGGCAGGTCTGAAGGTCCTTAGGAAATGATGTAAACCTCACACCTCAACCGCAATCAACTACCAGCTGAAAAAGGGATTGTGTTTGTACAAAACTGTGAGAAACAGAGTGCAAATGTAAATGAAATGACAACATAATAGCCACCAATTTCAAAGTAATGGACAATTAGGTAACCAGGTCATAAGGAATTTTTCTTCTCCCGTTGAAGAAAATTTAATGAAGAATTAGGCCTTGGTCACCCATAGGACCCTAAGGAAGAAATATTCAGGGTTTCGCGCTCTTTCTCTTTTTCCTAACTACTTGCGCAGTTGTCCTACCAAAACATAACTTACAAACATATACAGTAGAATGCTACCGTTCTTGCTACAAAAAGGTAAGCAGGTTAGGACCCGGCCAGCGCACTGCCGCACCGCACGTACACACACAGAGAGACAGACACACCAGTACGTTTTTTAAGAAGATATGTGAGATGGTTGTAATAAGGTAACACAAAGGAAAATATGTTTTAATGAAAACAATATAAAAGTCAACCAGATTACTCAATCTAAAACGAATAATATGGAAAAATCAACTAACTCTTAAGTAAAATTTTAAGCTACACGAGATGTGCAGTTCTACTGGGATTGCAAGTGTTATGGCGCTGCTAGAAGGAGGACGCGAGAGGGCCGGCTGGGGGCCTTTTTGCCCACGGCCGGGGAAGAGGGAAGGGATTTCCTTCTTAATTCTTGCTTTTCTTAGATTGATACATCTCCTCTCTTTATATAGAGAGGTTTACTTGACTCTCAAGCAAGGCTTACTTGACCCCTAAGCAAGCGACTCTTATCTCTAATTAACCCTAAGACTAACGGGCCCATTAGGCCCATTACGTACTCTAACACTACACCCCACCTGGACATGCAGCTTGTCCTCAAGCTGCAGCCTAACCAACTTATAACCATGACTCGACGCAACCCAAACCTAACACCTAAAAACAAGCCTTTTACATCTCGGCTTGTTTTATTATTCTCAACCTGAATTGGACTGGGACGCTTTATTTTGGACCCCTTAACAAAAAGTGGACACCATCCGCACGTCGAACGTGCACGTGTACAGCCACCTGGATCCCATGGACACCATCTGGACAAAAGGAGTGCATGTATAGGACCACCTGGAAGTGGTCGCAAGAGTGACCAGCAGAGGCGCCCTTGCGGCGCCCGGTGACGGAATGCAGTGGTGCTACGTGGTGCGTTGTTGTCGGTGACACCATGCCTTCTTCCTGTCGGACGGCTGTTGGTCTGCACCGCACAGGGAAGAGTGGGGGGCTTGCGATGGAGAATGACGAGGAGGGGTGCGCCCCCCCCCCAACCGCCAATGACGCAGACTTGGAGGTCGCTGCCCGTGGGGAAAACAGCATGCCCGCTGCCCGTGGGGGAAACCGCATGCCCAAGATCCCCGACGCAGCGGATGAGATCAATGTCCTTTGCGCAGCGAAGGGCAACTTGGAGGAGCGGCAGCTGCAGACCACGCATCTCCCGCACACGCCGACGCGCTAGGAGGCCGCGCGCAGTAGCCTGCAGCCTCACCGCCGCCGACACGTGGCGGGTAGTGATCCAAGACGAAAGCGGTGACAGCGACGGCGGGGACTGGACTTGGTGGAGCGGGACTCCCGCCGGCGCGGTCGATGCGGGGCCGAAGCTAACCGGCGGTGGCTGCTGCAGCGGCTGCGGCGGTGGCACACCCGGCAGCGGCTGCGGCGGCGGAGCGCTAGGCGCGGCGGAGGCCGGCAGGAGCGACGGCTGCCAGTGCAGCCAGGGTTGGGCGGTGGTGGCGATGGATGGCAGCTGCAGTGGCCCGACGAGCGCGGCGAAGGCCGCCTGGTGCGGCGGCTGCCACGGCAACCACGGCGGCGCGGGGGCGGCGATGGGCGCTGGAGGCGCGGCAGGAGCCAGCCCCGGCCACTGCGGGGCGACGGTGGCCGACAGCTGCAGCTGGGGCAGTAGCGTCCCCGCGAATGCCGCGGAGGCCCCTGGATGCGGCGAGTACCACGGCAGGGCCGGCAGCCCGGCTGTGGCGGTCAGCGGCAGGGGCGGCGGCGGCCCGTAGGGGCTGGCCAGGTACAGCCGGATCCCCTGGACGGCTGTGACGAGGTCGTTGAGGACCCCGATGATCTCCTCCGGGGTGTAGACGGCGGACGGTGGTGCGGTGGAGGGCGCCGACATCTGGGCGGTGGCGGCGCCGGAGGATGCGACCAGCGGCGCGGACGGGGAGGGCAGCGGCGCGGTGTAGATGGCCAGCGGCGTGGTGGTGACGGTCAGCAGCGGAAGCGACGGGGTGGGAGGCGACGAAGACATGATCGGAACTGAGCTACCTGATACCAAATTGTTATGGCGCTGCTAGAAGGAGGGCGCGAGAGGGCCGGCCGGGCAAGAGGGAAGGAATTTTCTTCTTAATTCTTGCTTTTCTTAGATTGATACATCTCCTCTCTTTATATAGAGAGGTTTACTTGACTCCCAAACAAGGCTTACTTGACCCCTAAGCAAGTGACTCTTATCTCTAATTAACCCTAAGACTAACGGGCCCATTAGGCCCATTACGTACTCTAACAGCAAGTGATTAGTTTTTCATACTGCTTACATTCGGTAGATGTATCGAGACATCTAGAAAGCATAAAAGAATACAGCGATTCCATACACGTTACGACATTTCGTAAAAAGCAATCTTTCTATATAGAGGAATTGTGCCCCCACCGATTGTTCGCTTCCACTGTTATTCCAACTTAAAGAAAATCCTGTGCACCCTAAAAACATGGGGATGTGGAACAAAAGGTGGAAAGAATCAGATGGAAAGGGTTGACCGAATAAAAATCTCCGAAAAGTGAATCTGCCTCTAGGGAGTCCAAGGGGCACCACTTGCAGCACCTTTCCCCCCACCAAAAATGTATGATGCGGTTGTTCTCTATTATTATTTCCAAGAAAGGTATGGCATTGCTCAAGCATGCCATATTTCCATTTGTGCTTTTGGGCCACATAATTTTATTCCTGGTCCCCTATCATCCAATAGGCCAGCCTGTAGAGGAACCGTATCTGTCGTTTGACAAACGTAATGCTCTGATCTGACTTTATGTAATTCACCAAAGTAGGAAAAAGCAAATTCACATGCTGTATTATCAAGAAATCATACATGTGCTACTTGGCCCAACCAAATTAAGACCAATGATGAGTACAGCGTTCAAAAGTAAGTGGTAAGCAATCCGGAATGGTATCCCCACCCCATCATGAATGATGAGTCTAGGGGTGGAGGAAATGTTTACTCAGAAAGGGATTAATCAAAAGTGGAAAGGGAGAAAAATGGCATTAACACTCAGTCTCTCACTACCCCTCAACCAATCAACTGGCGACAGAAGAAATTAACTTGTGGATCATGAATTCATGACAGCCTGACAGGAATGTAGGCATCAGCAGCACTATTGATCAATCAGGGTACGACACACATTGGAAGGGAAAGAGACACCAAATCTAATGGTCCGCCGGTTCTTTCGGGTTTGCACGTAAAGGCAAAGGCAGATCCTAAATAAGAAGAGAAAGTGTGACTTCTTTGCAGCTATATGCATGAAAGTTCTTACTGTGACTAGGCTTTACTTTCTCTTAGCTGCTTCAAGAAAACATAATTGGCTGTAGATGTACAGATAATCACATCACATAAATCATTGGAAAAGTCTTTAAATCATTAAAAATTCATATCACTTGGATTGCTTCGATTTTCTAACCTTCTGGAACTATTAAACTAATTATGATTTTCATATTAATGTGGAAGCTTAGGGCTTCATTACAATTTAAAAAATATTATTAGCATATCAGAATTCAGTAATAGATCCCATTGGTTCTTAATTTTTTTTCTAGTTTTCTCCTATATTCACGTGTATCATAAAAATAAACTAACTCTTGACAAAGGCTAAGTCCATTTGAAGCACAATCAAGTTGACATTTTATCCACTGTTGTAATACAGAAATTAACTTGTGCATGCCGACAACACAATGCGTGATATCAGTAAAACCACATTGCTCTACATGGAAGTGGATAGAAGATCTACCCATATCAAACCTAACATGTCCATCGAAAAGAATCGAGCATCGCCTTTGAGAAAATTCCATAGCAAAAAGGAAAACCATATCTTGAGGGTATTCCATTGGAAGTCTATATATAACAAGTCAGAAGGGTGAAGCAGTCAGACAAGACACACATACACATCTTACATAGCAAGCAGCAGCCAGCAGGAATGCATACAAACACACATCATCCCTCTAGCTGTGTGCATCGTAGAGAAGTTTAGTGTCAGTGATTCATGTCGCCCAATAACAATCACGAGTTATACTGTCAATGGCCATACGTGAATCGAGATAGAGGGCAGAATGTAGCCAAGGATGACTTGCCGGGTATGTGCATGTATGCTTCATGGTGAGGGTATGCATCCCCTGCTTTGAATCCATGC